TTTTAGTAGATGGTGGCACTGGCTAATCGAGTTGGTGCATAGCCGAATAAAATATTTGTGGTTGATCTGAAACAAACAGGGAAAAAGAAGGAGGGTGAATAGGGTGCCAGATCCTGTCTCCTTCGCTTTTTCTTTCCTTGAACCAGCTGTAGTACAAATATTTTAATATGATTATTGTATGTATTATGAATATTGCCTAGTCCCACCTTGAATTAGCGAGTTTTTTTATTATGGTCATTCCAAACCTTAGATTTTGTTTAGATAATTCTGCACGCTTGTGCGTACGTCATTTACGTTGAATAGTTTGACAAAAGCATCCATGATGCCTAAGAAGCCGGCCTAATTGATGCCTAAATTCCTACCCCGAAGTGCCCGTAAATGCCATGAAGTTTTCTCCACTGTCCGATGCACCACTTAGCCTTTTTGTGACGGCTAATGTTTAGAATTTACTTTATGAAGAACATGATTCCGCCGTTATAAAGCTTACACTCGTGACAACCTATGGTTATTTGGCAAGAATACAAAATTTGCAAGTGAAAAATCATGAACTTCGAAACTGATCATTTTATTTTACTTGATCACACGTGATAGGCTCAACAATATGTCCATTTGCTGCGCCCTAATTGAGCGATGTTTCGGATAATCTATTACGAAACTGCATAATTCTGTAGCGTGAGTAACCTGCTGAGCACAAGAAATATTATTTTTATACAGAAACCAAACCAGTGTATTTTGCTGCAGCGTTTAGGTCGATTATAATAAACCTTACCTAAGTCCTTACTTGGGCACAAGATCAATGTAGTGAAAATCTACGTGAAACACAGGACAGTGAAAGAGACAATGCTTCGTCCGTCTCGTTCACTGTCACGTGTTTCGCACTGTTTTGAGGTTCGTTTATTTTATTAAAGCTCCTACAATATTCAATGCCATGCCCAGTGATAGGGCCTTTAACTCACTAGCATCGAGGTAATTGATACGTGTTGTTACGTGTGATTATTTGAACTGCAGCTTAGAGGAAACTGTAAGCTTTACTATGATCTGTATTCATACAATTTCTAGTACTTCTGCATTGACATTCATTGAATGAATGACACATGAACACCCAGAGATGCTCCTAAACCCATGCTGCAAGCGCGCAAACCCCGAAATAACAGAGCGCTGTGGCCAAAATAAGGCAAGTATTATTCCCTATGCTTGCGAAGTCCAGCCTTGTATCTATGCTTTAACTCTCTACACGTTTTTCATATTTTCGCGGATGGTAAGTCTGGGCCTTCGGCACACAAGTGCATGAGGAATAAAGGTAACAACTATTTATTATAACCACCTCACCAACGACCTATTGGAGTGTAACTGAACCAACCTCACAGCAGGACATCGGTTACTAGACAATATAGTTGTTATGCAGAAGCTAAAAAAATGTAACAAAGATGGAGCATCGCTTCGACGAAAACAACCTAACACCTTCCACTGTGGCCGCTTGAAGCGAAATAGACAGAAACACCTGCATTTCTATACAACAATAGCTTCGCTGCATATGTTGCGCGGCATAGACAATGCCGAGTACAGTGTTTCCTTGCACTGTAGTTCAAACGAAAGGTCCAAGTGTTGGCGGCATGCTGCTAAATAATACAGCACTATGACAAAAATTCTTTCACTGTTCTTTTTTTTACTTTCTCTGAAGTGGTTTTTCAAGGTATGCACCACCAGCCCTTATACAATCGTGTAGTTGGTACCAGAAGGTGAAGTTTGAAAGCAACTGAAGAAAGCTTCTTTTTTCTACCTTGTGTGCAATGGGTGTTGCTGTAAAAAATCCAAAAAATCCAGCATTATCAGCAGCTCCACCCACTTTTTCAAACAGCCGTGCCAGAACCAGCTACTTCATGCAGAGAGGACTGCTACATTTCAGTTCTTTGAAGTTATATCGCTGCCATTGCTAGTAGATGCAAACACCCTGAATGCTGCGCACTACTTGTTCCAGAACTCGAAAGTTGATGGTGCTGAAGTGCACCAGAAAGAGTGAGGCTACTTAGAACAAAAAAAGGAGAAGTCCCAGCTAAAGCAGATTTTGCCTTTCTGGCCTCCTTTCTTTCTCTTCAAGGTTCGCAGTTCTAATTTGTATCGCTTGTTTTGACATCGAAGGCTGCGGCTGCTCGCAAGATCTTAACGGAGAAAATATTTATATCTTGCGCACAGGTTTACAATGCCGAGTTAGATATTAAAAGGCTTCACATCTTTCCCGACATCTGTTTCGTTTTAAAGCACTCACACTATTACAATGCTTGTGCCTTTCGTGCATTTTCATGCGTAATTTACAAGGAAACTGTCAAGGTTTTGAAGCTGCGATACATACGTAGAAGCACTTCATGCCAAATTAGGACAAGATGAACAGCAGTTTATGCGTTATCATTATTTGCTGGTGCACTGGCATCAAAACAACAATACTGTAAAATGCTCAACAGCGTGTAAAGCAACAGCAAAGGTTGTATGAAGACAACATCATGTAATTGCAAAGATGACCAGAAGTAGTATTAGTTAAACTGTGAAACTTCAGACGCTCTTTGTAAAAGTGCAAGCTATTTCGACGTCACGCTGTGGAATTCAAAGCTTAACAATCAACCTTTATGTTTTTGTTTTCTTGGACACCTCCAAAATGTTTATTGCAGTGGTAGCGTAAGCTACATTTTTTATTGAAAGCTGCTTGCTTTTTCCTTCAGCTATGTGATTAGTTCCGTAAAAAAACAAGGAATGTGTGGCACAAATTGGTTACAATAAATACTTGCACGCAGTGAGCCCAAAGGCAGCGGGTAAAAAATCAAGTGGCAAATCCATGTGTACCTCTCCAAACGGCCGGAGCAAGAATGTCTCTGGCATGTGAATAGAATGAGATGTGCACTCGCAGGCACAGAAAACTTTAGCATGCATAATGTCGTTCATGGTATACAACTTATGTGATGTATGAAACCATTGATTGATTGATTGATTGATTGATTGATTGATTGATTGATTCATATGTGGGGTTTAACGTCCCGAAACCACCATATCATTATGCGACACACCGTAGTGAAGACTCCGGAAATTTCGACCGCCTGGGGTTCTTTAACGTGCCCCCGAATCTGAGATGTATGAAGCCAAGCGCTAAGAAAGCGTATTTGTGATTTGATATAGGTATGACTGTAGGTACGTATAAATAGTTTATATTTGTTAAAGTTATCACGCACCTTCCACACTTGTGGGGGTAGTATACAATAATGTTCTGGTGCATAAACTCTAGCGCGTTCACAATGCATACGCATTTCACACTTCCCAATTCACTCGCCTTACGACATTCGAAAGAAAGCGCATTTTTGTGATACTGTGCCAGCAAACAAAACTATAGTGAGAAATCGTTCTACATTCCTATAAATGACAGAACGATACTCTACGCATTAATATGGTATATGGCTGCACTGAACATTACGAGTAAAAAGTCGTTTTAAAGGAGCAGTATCTCCGCACTACATTTTTATACTACATATGCTAAAAGGCTACTCTTGGATATTAGGTCACACTGTTATATGTGTTAGTTATTCGTGTCCTCATAGATAATCTGCTATCGCAATTTCGATGACACTCATAACCGTATTGAAATTTGTTCATTCCATTACCTGTTAATCAGAGTCCTAGAAAGTGATTATCTTCAGTATCAATTGCTAAAAATGAGAACGTAGCAGCGTCAGGCAGAAAGTTTCGGTGATGATAGCCTCAAATGACCAAACGCAACACAACTGCGAACACAAGAGAAGGTAGTGCACCTGCACTGCACAACTTTATCGATGCAATCTGATATCCTCTCTCTCGTGCGTCCACTCATATGTCCACATATTTTTGGAAACAACAGATATTACTACAGGGGACTTTTATGTAAAGAATATGCAACTTTAAGACAGTTATTGTGCTCGCAGGAAAGAAGTATGAATTTTTCTTTTGCACTATCTAAACACAGTGCATTGTGGTTAGCCAAACTTGTGCACTTCACTCGCGTTTGAGGAGAGGTATAAGAACATAAAGGTTATTTCTGTCGTGATCGAACTGACTGCGATAATTATTCATATATTAGCTAAAGATATCTCCCTAGCAAACCTAATTAATCTATCGCCATGGAAACTCCACCATGACAGGCAAAAGATAGTACATAAAAGCAAAGTAAAGACTACCATGGCTCGGCACTCAGCAATACCCTGTATGTACACCTAAAATTATAAAGTTTTATAAATTGTACTCAGGCTTACCTTTGCTTTCAAACTTCTTGCTTTTTTATGGTAATAATACTGTATATGTATAGCCGCTAATGATTCTTGCGTTTGCGAACAATATAGCCAGCCTTGAAATATATATTACTTCATTAGATCTTAATATAACGTATCAAACTTGGTTAAGGTATATTTTCTTGGTAGCATCGAAGGCTGAATTACAAAAGCAATTTATTGCTTTTCTCAAAAACTACGGCATCGTTGTTATGTTTTTCTTGATTGCCGAAGAAAAAGTCATTTGTGGGCTTCCATGTGCATAGCATATCTTCCTAATTCATCCTTGCTGCCAAGAAAGGAAAGTGAGAGAACGTTGATGACGTGAACACAAGACACGAAAAATAAGGCTACTAGCGCGTGACACAAAACTTCTAATGCAAAAAATTACGTATTTGTGCTTCATTGTTCGGTCACAGATATTCATGTGATTCAATAGGTACCGCAGAGGACGAAGCCATAAGACATTTTTTTTTTTTTTACAAAGCTGCCACGAAATGTTTGCAAGATAGCTGGCGAAAAAAGAAAGTGCAGAGGCTTAGCATGAAAAGTTAATCTGGACAGCTGTTATTTTTGTGGCGTTGCGTCGCTCAACACAGCGCTGGCTAGTGTGCTGTATTGTTGCACAAACAATACCTTTGCCACGAACCTTGACTTCCTACCAATGGGGCGAACGAGCTAATCCTAGAATACACGTAGACAGAAGTATAAAAGGCATGGCCAGGTCGCACAGCAGTCACCTTACCGTGTCGAAAGGCGGACGCACACTTCTGCAGGAAGGTCATCTAGTTCCGCCAACATGAAGCTGCTTTGTGCACTAGCCCTCGTTGCCCTTGGTAAGATTGCTTCCCTCATTTCTGGTGCAAAGACTTCGTGCTAGGGATAACAACTTCGTGTAGCACTAACTCGAGACAACACATGTACCGTGCCTAGACAATGGCTTATTTGATCACGGGAAACATATGGTAGTATTTAAAGTCTTCCTTTCTGCCACTAAATTTCCAGTGAAGCTGTGGCGTTGTTTTGCACTCACAAGGTTTTTTATATTTTTTAGATGGACGATAAAATAGTAAAATATGCACCTAAACGTGTTTGAGCAGCTTAACTTCTATGAAGCATAGCGTGAGGCGTGTTCAAATATATTAAACGCAATTACCTACAAACGACAAGGTATCATAATTGCGTTTTGGAAACAATTAGGTTTCAAAAACAATGAAAAGCAAACATAAAACACTGCGTCGTGGTTAGCTCAAGTAATGCAAGTTAAATTAAACACACATTTCTGCTTATGGGGCTGTTTTGGGCTGCCATTCTGCTTGGGGCTGCCATTGGGGCACAGCCTCCGTATGCAAAAAGGGCAGGCTTTTCAGACACAGCGAAGTAACAACTGAAACGCTTATTCGCGTTCATCTGTACCGGGGAGTACACTTTGTGCGCCATTTGTGCGTTACAAACGCGGGGCACGTTTTGATCTGCTTGCCATTCCGCGCGTGGCCTTCCTACTTGTCGCTATCGCGTTCATTGCTTCGCTTTTGTGGCAAAGCGATGACTTTTTTTAGCAAAGTACTGCTAATCTTTCCGCCCAGATGCCACACCGCACACCCTCCTCTCTCACCTGTAGGGCCACACCGAACACCGCCCGTGTTATTCGCGTGGCATAGATTTGTTCATAAGAGTGTGGCGCGAGCCGGGTAACAGCGTCGGCACCCACTCTGTGGCCGTTCGGGAGAGGTTCTAAAAAGAAGTTTCTACACTTGAGAAAGGAGGCTTGGACACTATGGAGAGGATATGGAGGAGAGTGTCCCTAATTTCTCTATATTAGGTAGTTTAGGTGGTCCGAGATCGCCGATGTATTCGGTGGGCATGCTGCCCCACGCACCCTGTTTGCCAGCTGCCTCTGCATTTGGTGACTCCGAGCCAAATGACCGGCGCGGCCAACCAAATACGCTATAAGGAAGCGCCCTAAAGTCTATGCTGACGTAGGCTTTGATGAAGAGTATTTCTTGCCTTCAAATAATTATCAGTGCAGCACCACGAGAACGCGTTTCCTGAGGCTGGGATGCAGAGCTTAAGTGTAAGCTCGCTATAACAAAGCCTCAAAACAGACAACGCAGAGTAACAAGAGCGTAGCGTAAGAATTAGGTACCTCAGTGATCGTCTGTGAAGGTAAATATGTGACTAAAATACCAAACACTCAAATAAAAAGGACAATAAAAAGCCTTATTTGTGCTGATACCTGGAACGGTAATCTCTGAAGCGCCTCTCTGACTGGGATTATAGGGGCGATGATCTCATTATATTAATGCTTCCAGAATGATTATCTATTCTCAAACCTAAGCCACTAACTTGAGTGCCACTGTATGCACATCGCATTACGCCCACACAATTTTTCTTTTTTTTTTCGGCGTATAGAAGTGGCCCTTTATATAACCGTATTAAGGAGACTGCGTTTCAGAACAGTATTGATAGAGCTATGATAGTTTGAGAAGTCGAAGCTTTACGTAATTTAAGGCAGCAGACAAGTAAATAGGTAGTTTTGTGGGTAGTATTTGCAAATAAAAGATTTGACGATGATTTGGCTTCGCATTCACCAGTCGCGACAGTGTCATTGGACGCCGTTCTAATCGCAATCTCTATCGCTAGTCTGCCTTCGCTCCTTGGTGGACACCAGCGTTGCCGCAGGGACGTCGGTGTGCGTGTAAATTGGTCGTTACAGCTGACGATGAAGTGCTCACTGGAAGTACACATTGGTGATGCGCCCACCACGACCTAATTATACCTTCCGCGAATTCGCAAAGTCCACATTGCGCATCGTAAGGAAACCAGGGCAACTGCCAGTGGCACACGTTGTTGGGGCTGTTAATGTTGATAATGATCATCTTTAGCCTGACTTCACTCACTGTAGAGCAAGGGCCTCTGCCATGCTACGCTAGTCAACTCAGTCCTGTGCTTGCTGCAAATACTTTATACTCGCCAACTTCATAATCTCATCTGTCTATCTAGCTTTCTGTCTACTCCTCACCCGCTTGCTGTCTTTTGGAATGCAGTTTGTGATCTTTAATGACCAGTGGTTATCTGTCCCTCACTTCACGTGCCCTGCCTATGGTTATTTTAGATAATAATGCCTAATTATTCCTGCCCGCTATGTAATTAGCAGACTTCTAAGCAAAGCAATGGTTATGCAGGCAACACGTGTTGACACCTGGTGTGACAGCACGTTTTCCCTCGCAATGATGCAAGCGTTAAGGGCACCTTTCTGAACACAATATATTAATTTGGTGCATTTTCTGGAAAACCTTCAACCACCTGCCTGCAACGCACAAGCCCTCGACTCAATTTCCTCTTGCACTAAAGTATTTTCATTTGTTTATTTGCATCTATCTATAACTTCGAATCACAGAAAACGTTGGTCCTTCGCTAATTGTCGATGAAAACCGCGCCAACGCAACAATTGCTGTGAAATGAGCTCTTTAAAGCTACAGCGTTGACATTGCACAACCTAGACAAACGTCGAAGTCAACCATATATCGAAGGTCACATTTGTGAACGTAATGATGAATAAGCACATCTACTATAAGGTGCTGCTAACTGTGCATAGAATAGCGCAATCTAAATATAGTTATTTAAAAAATTGGCAGCATATTCATGGAGTGAATGATGGAGAGTGGGGCGAAGCATTCGTCCGTCTATTCGTTCTTGCTTCCATTCGTTCACGCGTCCGTCTGTGTGACCGTCCATGCATCCATCAGCCCGTCCGTGCGTGCGTCTGTTCGTGCGTCCGTCCCTGCGTGCGTTCATGAGTCCATCCATGCATCTGTCTGTGTGTCCGTTCGTCCATCTATTCAGCACTCCAAGTACCACCATCTCGTATCTTTTTATCATATATTCCCCGTATCCAGCGGACATACCACCATCCAGCGGACATTCCAAGGACTAAACGAGAGGTGGCGCACGCACACTTTCTTACGGCTTGCGCTTCAGGTCTACTTCCCACCTTTAACCACCTCGAGTTCATGGTATATACTAGTACACTGTATTTATGACACTGCGGCCCAACGCTCGCTAAACATTTCTTAAACCAAGGAGGTTACGCCCAGCGAGTATAACGTAGCAACCTTTTCCTGTCATATAGTGCTTAATGTACATGCCAATTGCTGCTGATGGGAAATGAGAGACAGGAGAATTCGGCTTTTACTTTCTTGCGGCTTGCGCTTCGTATCTACTTCCCACTTTAATCAGCTTGAGCTCATGGTATATACTAGCTCATTGTATTCATGGTACTGCGACTCAACGCTCGATAAACCTTTCCAAAACTGAGGTTACACCCAGCGAGTATAACGTAGCAACCGTTTCTTCTCAGATAGTGCTCAATGTACATGCCGATGGCTGCTAATGAGTAATGCGAGACAGGAGAATTCGGCTTTTAGTAAACGCGCACACCGCAAACTTTTTATTGTTCAACAAAGCACAGGAGAAATCTCCCACCGGCACCACCTTGCAGGTCAAAATGTTACACTTGTTACGCACTACGACTACGACTACAAGGGACGAACGGGTGCCGCTTTAAAGAGCTTCGCCCCTAAAAAGATACGGAAGTTATAAAATAGGCAAATTCTCACATGCCGAAACGGGTAGGCCGAGCCTCCCCGCCACGTCATGGGCCCTTTGGACAGCCCAGAGTTGATGTGCAAGTCCTGAGCTTCTGAGCGCAAAGCTCCATTCCTCTTCGGCCATGTGCCCAGAATCGCATGATGAGGGGCACGCCCAGAGCATGTAATCTAACGTAGATACGGCGCCACACTCTGGGCATGTTGGATTTATGCTTTCAATAAACTGGCTGGGGGAACGAAGACTGGAGTGCAACCTGGTTTGAATCATGCGGAGGGTCTGGGCCTGGGCCCGACAAAGTTGCATATGAGGAAGGGGGAAAATCCTTCTCTCCAGCAGATAATGTTTTCCGACGTGGGAGCGGCCCGCTACTCCAGCTCGTTGAGGTAGTGTTCCTCAGGACCTTAATAAAGTTCTCTGTCTGCCTGCCTGTCTGTCTCACAAGCCCTGGCTGTTCTTATGCCCGCCTTAATCATCAGGTGTTTTTAAACCGTGGGTAGATTAGAGTCATGCTAATTCTACGAGGAAAATATTCATACTGACACAAACTCAGCATACCTGTTATTTCGAGATGTCAAAATATATACCTGTCTACATTTGCAGTCATGATATCGTCGCTACATATCACAATATAAAGGCGTTCTTGACAAAGTGGTCTTTCACTAGAGATATAGATAGAAATTATTTATTGGACTCTGCATTAACAGTTGCTCAGACGCGATCAGCACCTACGCTGGCGTTGAATGACATATTTTTGTACTTTACACCCCAGGGCTTCCATTCGGCAGCGCTTACCTTGGTGGATTCTATGGAGGCTTTGGCGGCCTCGGCGGTTGGGGTGGCGGTCTCGGTGCCATCATGGGCCCAGGAGCTTATCCCGGTTTCTATGGCCTCAACAGCGTGCACCTCTTGGGCGGCAGGTTCCACCATATCTTCGGAAGATTCCCACCACCACCTGGCATTGGAGCTGCCGAGCGCCGAGGAACTCTGAGTCCATACCCTCTTGACATCAACACTGTCCAGGACCCTGTCACTGGCCACCCCATGGTGCGCGTGGTCTACGGCGGTGTCTTGCGGGAGCGCGTCGTACCCGTACCAGTTCCAATTCCTCAGGATGTGCCTGTCCCAGTCCCCATCCCAGTACCTCAGCCATACCCAGTCCCACAACCACGACAAGTTCCTTACCCAGTGCCTAGTCCCTACCCTGTCCCAATCCACAGTAACACCGAAGTTCACAAGACCGACGTTGTCGCTGCAACCCCAGGAGGACCAGGTACGTCGCAATGCTGTAGCACAGTGGGGAACAGTCACGTGATATGAACGGGTTAGGCATTTCTGCAAAAAGCTGCAAATATTAACGCAAAAAACTTGTATAGCAGAGCACAATTATATACAGCGCATATTCCTGCAGCGCAAGTCATTATAGGAAAACGGTGGCATGCACGCCCTAGGAATACGGGACGTTCTGAACAAACTTGGACTATACGCGCAGGCAGAAATTAGGCTTTCATTTGAAGCAGAAATGCGCGAGTTAAAAAAGAAAGGAGCAGAAACAAAAAAAATTACAAGAAGCGATTCATTTCTTTCTCTGGTGTCTGTGGACGTCACACGATGTTGGGCTGCTTGTTTTGAATTATTCCAGAAAAAGTAGCCACAAGCCTGACATCGCGAAGACACCGCGTAAAACAACAATCGGGGACGTTTTCGCTTTACGACTGTATTATTCTTCCACGTTTATGACTAGGGCGCTTAAGTTGAATTGGCAATCCCAAGAGCAGCGTTAACTAGAGTGGATTGAATGCTTTACGGCACTTATCATTGTCAAGCGCTGTTAAATCATTCATTACATTTGCAGGCATCTCAAATTTTAGAAATCCTCTTTTTGTGTATTCACTTGTCGTAAAGCCTCGCTTAGTGTTCGTAATGTGCAGAGCTCATCTTTTCTTTTTTAGGTGCAGTATACATTGTACTGAACCTTGTCTGATTATCTGACAAATTTTAAGGCATCTGAGCGCTAAACATACAAAAACAAATTATTTTTGCAGCCTTTCATGGATATAAATGCATCATGCATTGCACATACTAAAGTATAGGCTTGGGTTTTGCGTCAGCGTTCTTCGCCCTAGGTAGATCAGCACACTGCTTCGAAATGGTCGATACAAGTTGCACAATATTGCCCAAACTTCCTGTAATCTCCTTGTGCCTGAGGGTGTCTTAACTAGTGCCCTTAGGAACCCCCATAGCAGCGTTTCTCACCAGTGTCATTGCCTTTTTTTCTTTTCAGTCCTGCTTGATTCCGGTGTCACCAACATCCAGCCAGGTGCACCACAGGTGGCGGCCTAAGCTGTATCTGATAGAAAGTAGTAACAACAATTTAATCATTGAGCTTAACGTAAATTATGCATTACAAATAAATAAACTTTTGTTTGGCAGTGATAAGCCTCATCTTCCTAATTTCATTGTTTCAAACACATTCATAAATAAATATTCGGCGTATCCTGCCCTTTGGCCAAAGGCTGATTCTTGCCGTGACTTACACAGCTCGAGTGCTTGGTTTTTGTTTCTTTAAACATGCAAAAAAATACAAGAAGCTCTTCCACCATCTGGAAAAAAAGGAGAGTGTAAAACTTGGCGTGTGTGCGCTTCACCTACCGACTTTATTCATTTTGTTCTTTTTATTGCACTGTCCAATGCTCAACCAAACTCTTTCCTTCCTGCATGTCGGAAATTGAACCTTCACTCCCAGACTTACCAGCACAATATATATTTTGCTAAAGGCAAGAACAATGGTCATGCGTACAACAATAAGGTGCAACAAGAAAGAAAAACAAGTGACCTCGACATCAGATCGGGTACCGATATTAGAAACAGCTGATTGTCAAAAAGGGCACTACCAGAGAGAAACAGTTCTTAGAAAACGGCGCATACAAACATGCTATTTGCTGGCGTACTTTTTATAGAGGGCCTATTTATGGTCGCCCGCATTCCTGATCACCCACTTTTGCAATAGTGGTCACTCCCACCTTGAAACTAAGCTTTAGTGTCTCATGGCGACTTAGTGTACTTCTACTGTGTCATTAGAAACACGCTGGGCATGCATTGTAAAAAGGCGTTAGGTGTGTATCAGAGAACCAAATGGGAATGTAGTACACCATTGTTATTGTTAATGCTTGGGCTGCTGAAATTTTATTTGTACTTCCTAGTTTCAAAGTACACTGCAACAACGCAGTTATATTCCCTTATTTGAGGTGGCAAATCCACTACCCCCATCTTGCCAGTAGTTCGAAAAAGATAACAGCATATTCATGGAGTGAATGATGATGAGTGGGGCAAAGCATCTGTCCGTGCTTCCATCTGTCCATGCATCTGTCTGTCTGTCTGTCTGTCTGTCTGTCTGTCTGTCTGTCTGTCTGTCTGTCTGTCTGTCTGTCTGTCTGTCTGTCTGTCTGTCGTCACTTGCTGAGTGAGTCATCAAACTAGGTGGTCACGAACCACGACGAGCTAGGTAAACAGACCGATGGCTTCGAAAGCTTTGCCTCTAAAAGGGCACCAGATGACGCCCCACATTCATGTTGGAAACAAGGCAAAAATAGTGAACGCAAGTGCGGTTACTGCCGCCTCACGCGTCTCTATAGTAGTGAGTGACAAAAAGCTAGGAGCAGAAACGCGGACAACATATTTCACCTTACAATCGACCAACAGTTTGCCGATAGCAGCAGCTGGCAGACGGAAATTGGCGTCGTTTCGCTCAAGCGTAAACACACGCATGCACACAAGCAACCACACAAGCACACTCTGCCTCACTCCCTCACTCACTCAAGTCAATGAAATAACGATTGAACATAACTTCAATCCAACGTTTTGAAGCCGCTGACGTGCTTCCTGATGTACTGGCAGTGGATCTGGCTTGAGTAGTGTCGCGCGCGCGCGTGTTTTTTAGAGTTGCAGCTCCTGACGCCATGGGTCGTACGTGGTGTGTTTATATAGTTTCCACCTATCGTTTAGTCTCTTTAATTTCCGCAGGATGGCGGCTCTTGTAATGGGGAATATACGGTGAAAAGAGGCGATGTGGCGGTAATATGAGTGTTCACTGGATGGATTGATGAACGCACAGTGAGAGAGACAGACAGACGGACGAAACGGACGTACGGATGGATGCATGGACGGAATGATCGACGGAAGCACGCACACAAAGACGGACGGACGCCTGAAAAGATGAACGAACGCTCGGACGCTTTACCTAACTCATAATCATCCACTTCGTGGATATGCCGTGATTGTTTTTTCCTTGGCAGATTTCACATGTCAGAAAATATTTACAGTGGCTTAGCTCGGCTATGCCAGGATACACGCAGCGTAGTTGCTCAACCGCAGGACCCTACGGGAGTGTTCGCTCTTTATACAAGTATGTTTCACTATGCTAAGGCAACCAAGCCCAAGCCCGCCCTTTTAAAAGATTTCTTAGTGAACTTCGGCGACATTGAGCGTATCTATCTATCTATCTATCTATCTATCTATCTATCTATCTATCTATCTATCTATCTATCTATCTATCTATCTATCGATCTATCTATCTATCTATCTATCTATCTATCTATATATATATATATATATATCTAGCCGCCTATGACTTTTAGCTCTCCTGGCCGTTTCGAATAAGGTATCAATACCAAACGTGGTATGGCATGACATGACTGTATGAAGAACATACTTGACTAGTCGTAACATGAAAATCAAGACATGTCTTGAATGTCATCATTTACGTTTAATGGTTCTGCAGCACTTGCGGGGGTTTCGTTTGCATGACATGTTGCAATACTGGTATAGTATGACACAATTGCCTGGCGAACACAAGCGACCGATCCTAACATGAAAATCACGACATGCGTGTCTTGTAATAACATGACTACATGCCACGCTCATGATGTGCTCGCAGCCGTTCCGCTAGCGTCACTTATACCAAATTTGGTATTACGAGACGTGAATAGATGACGAAGGTATGATACTGGTTCAGGCATAATAAACATGAGATGCGTGTCATGTAACAACATGACTACATGCTATGCTCATGATCCATTCGAGGCCGTTTCGTTAGCTTCACATGTACCAAACTCGGTATTACGCGACTAGAACGGACGACATCGGTTAATTACTCATCCAAACATGATAATCACTACGTGTCATGTAACAACATGACTACATGCTGCACTGATGAAGCGCTCGTGGCCGTTTTGCTAGCTTCACATATGGCAAATTTGCTATTACGTGACACAAAAGGATGACGAATGTATGTGACTGTTACAAACATGATAATCACGAGATGCGTGTCATGAGAGAACATGACTACATGCCATATTCAGGGCGCCAATAAATTTCGACGTCACGTGGTGCGCGTGCTCACCGGCGTTCATTTCGTCGCATCACGCCAGCGTTAGTTAATTGCCACGCCAGGCGCCAGCCCTGCCATATACTTGCAGGCATGCGCCGCACTGCGTTGTTTTGACGCATGCGTGTTTCAGCGCATCCGACATCCCTCCGTCACGAAAAGAGAGAAACGCAGTGTTTTCTGAGTAAAGCATTGGCGCGAAATGCAGCATGTCGCGTTTCGCGCCAGTTGCCGTAAGCCGCGCGTATACGGACGCTGGTTGCTGCTTGCGTCAGACTGTAGCGTGCTCGCGTTTTGCTCACGTAGAGTCACTGGGACCAACTTCCGCGCGTCAACGCTACATTGGAGTATATTATGCGTTTCAGGATGCGCTCGTGGCCGTTTTGCTAGCTCCACATATACCGAAGTTGGTGTTACTTGACGTCACTGGATGATGAAATATATGAGTGGTGCAAACCATGATAATTCTGACACGCTTGTAATGTAAGAACATAACATACCAGGCTCATAGCGTGATCGCGGCCGTTTTGCTTACTCCACATATACTAAATTTGGTAACACGTGAGGTGAATAGATGACGAAAGTAAACGACACATCTAAACATGGTAATCATGACACGTAAGTCATGTACGGTATAATTTTCCTCCACCTCGTAATGTTGTGCTGATAATAAAGTGACATATCAACATTTCTCATTCGTGCTTCGCATATCATCGATTCTCACTGTACATGGGATCTGCCAATTTTTACTACGCTTCTGCATGTAGCCCACGAGTGCTAACTTTTTATACTGCGCAGTGTAATGGAAAATATGCAAAGGAAAGATGCAAATACTATGTTCAAATTTGTGCACAAGTTTATTAGGAAGCATCAGCAATGTAGGTTTTTGATTCTATGCTGTGTCAAGTTTTCTTGTTTTCTGGCGCCATTTCACATTTTCCCTGCCCAAGTAAACAACGATAGCAACGTTCGGTTGCAGCAACTTGACATCGAAGCTTGTCAGTGAGGTTGAGTGCGGGATCATAAGGTGATCTGTATTCATCGAGCAGGGCGAAATTACGACAGCGGTGCGTCATGAACTATTTTGTTTTTCGCGCTTGCGATCACCAAGAATGAGCGTGCGAGTGATAGTATCAGTAGGAGTGAGACCCTAATCTCTATAGCCGTCTTGAATGTGACACCAGTGACCTGCTAGTACGTGGAAACTGCACGTAAAAATCAACGAACATTTTTCTGAATTGCATTGCATACGTGGTCGGTGTTTCGGCTGCCTTATATTGTTGATACGATAACGCTGAAGACCACGTACGCTAACATTGCTCTCATCGGCGTCTACTAAGGGAGTCGTTGCTTACGATTTGCCTGGATAACGCACGCGTTCATATATACCACTATGCTGACTGCGCAAGAACTGCATTCTTGGTCGAGTAATAATTGCGTTCCTCACACTTGCATTTACGAACGTCAAACGCCCGCTCAAGACCGATCTGTGCCATGATTTCTGCTTCCCATTGTTGCCTTAGTGTTCCCTAAAAAATAACATAAGCGTGAGTGTGAGTGGGTGAACAACTTTATTCTCTTCCTGCAGGTTACCGGGCTGCGTTCTCTGCCAGGAGCCAGCCGAGAGACCACGCCTCTCAGCAGCTTCATTAGCCTGCTGGATCGCCTAGAGTTGATTATCTAGTCCTTAGCTGAGCAGCGCAGTCCGCACACGCTCCCGAAGGTCCTCTTTGGATGCCCCGTCTCTTATATTGCCAATTAGTGCTGGCCACTTCATGAGAATATGCGCAAGTTTGGCCCTACTACTAAAATCTTCGCGCGAATCGGTCATATACCAGTCGGGATAAACGTGTTACATAATTACGGGATTATTGTGGGTGTCTGTTTGTAATTGCCGCAATTGAACGGACTGGGCCTGGTTGAGAGTGGAGTGAGGCGGGGAATATTCCCGTCGTTGAAGTCTATATTGTTGGGTAATGTCATTGAATATGGTAAGTCTATACCCCACTCCCCCTCCTCCGCGAGAGAGTGCGTACGGGTGTCAACTACGGACGTGGCCTGGAACGTGAGATCTCAAGCCACGTCGTGTGCCACCTCGTTAAGATTGACCTCCGTGT